TTGTTAGTGCGGAGTTCTTGTGAAGGACCAAATCCCGATCTCCATTCAAGAATGGAAGAAGCCAGTGAAGGAACGTCCAGATCTTACTTCTGTTGACCAAAGAGCAAAGGATCTTCTTTGGAAATCTCTCATGAAACATTTCACCCTATCAGATCATTTCACAGATGCAGATGTGCAGAAAGTCAAGGACGCTGCTCTTAGGAAGATTGCGGTTGCATTCAACAACCACAAGAAATCTATATGGGCCAAGTACATCGGAGGAGGAAAGAAGACTCCAGAATTCACGGGAACACTAGAGAAGCAAAGAGATCACTGGCCAGCTTTCGTGAAATTCAAGGAATCGGAATTAGCTAAGGAATGGTCGAGAATAAACAAGATCTATGCCGCGAAAAAGGAGCATTACCATAAGCTGGGGCCAGGTGGCTACGCGGTGGCCCGCCCTAAGTGGGATAAGGCTGAGCAACATATGGTGGATGCAGGATCATTCTAGTTACATCGACTTGGCCCGAAAAGGTTAGGACTTGGTTGTATGCGCATGGGGGGCGTTGGACCCAAAGACTTGCCAGGTTTTGGAGAAGGCAAGTCTTAAAGGGGACGACCTCAAAATACTTGTTGCAATAGAAGAGGCTCGAACGGGGGTGTTCATGCCCAACAGAGAGAACGACGAGCTTACGCGTGCCATGGGAAAATCTTGAATGCCCGGGAAGAACACGGGGCAAAGGCGTTGTTCCGTGGTATGAGGGGTTTGAGGACTGGAACGCCGACTACAGAAGTCGTGCAAGAAAGAAGATGGAGGATGAGAAGAGGAGGAAGCTGGAGGAGGAGCAGAGAAAGCAGGAAGCAGAACGCCTTCAGGGCCTAGAATCAAGGCACGTGGAGTTGGCACTCGCTTTCCAGCGGTAGCAGCAGCAGATCTACTTACTTAGCCAGGAAAGGGGGTCTCAGCAGCGGCAACAGCTAGTGGATCCAGCATTGGAGGATAGCACCGTCCCATCCATGCCGAGAAGCAGCGTGGGTTCCACCCCGGGCGAGGCACTTCTGGATAGATACCCTGTGGATGACATCATGGATAACACTAATTGTGAGCTACACTTCAAAATGAAGAACATATCCATGAAGGTGGCAGACGCCGTTGCTTATACAAATCCCCCTGAAGCAACTTTCCATTGCACCCCGATTCCAGCTGGCTATGCTCGTGTCGTGGTTGATGAAGTGGTGGCACAATATTCGGGGCTAGAGCTTGACATTCCTGGAGGTGACAACGAGCACACACTAGGAGAGGTCATACATCGTATCATTCTATGAAGAAAGGACTGCATCACCTTTCCAAGGCCACCAACACCACGTTAGCAGACTCCTCCAAGTCCGCCACCGCGTCAGTAGACTCCCGCTCCTCCAAATCCGCCACCGTGTTAGGCCACTCTTCCTCCTCCATGTCCGGCACCGCGTCAGGCAACTCCTCCTCCTCCAAGTCCGACACCGCATCAGGCCACTCCTCCTCCTCCAAGTCCAGCAGCGCGTCAGCCCAGTCCTCCTCCTCCAAGTCAGGCACCGCGTCAGCCGTCTCCACCACCTCAGCGTGCTCCACCACCTAAGCAACAGCGAAAGAGAGGTGCCGTAGCTATAGCGGCTAGCGGTACAAATATAGGAGGCAAAAGATACCGATTTGGTCCAAGCCTCGCGCCTCTTCCGAAGAGGCCTTACGACAGGACCGACGAGGAAACCGCAGTCGAATGCAGGGCCCAATTGGACGCCCATTTTGGACCAAAACCGCCACCGCCGCCAAAGGAGAAAGTGTCTGAGCATGTCGTGGACCACTTTATTCGTATGGCTAAAGCACCAGCTCCCAAGCCTATTGACTTAGACTATGAGCGCCAAATCAGGAAGGCATACCAAGCACAACAAAAAAAGGGCTCGAGCTCGAGCTCGAGCTTGAGCCAAGCAGCTGCCAAAAAAGGCGTAAAAATTGTTCCCCAGCTGGGAGAACAGGCGGTGCAATCGATCACCCCGCTCATTGTACCAACATATGTGAGTACCCGCGCGGCCGATCAACTGGTAATAACCGACGATCATATAAGGCAGGCTGTAGAGATTGGATGCACTGTAGAACAACTCCTAGAATTGGAGACCATGGAAACCTTTAAAGAGAAGGAGCTAAAACGGAAATATGTCCGCAACGAACCTATGGTCAAGCCCGAGGAGGTCAAGAAGCTCTCAACGAGAATATATGAATTGCATGAATGGTACATGAAAATTACCAAGACTACCAATGAAGAGTCCCTCATGCTGAAAGTCAGGCCAGAGCATTACTTCCATGCGAAGGATCTGTATGTTGAGTATACAGAACTGCTTCAGTTATTCAATCAAGACGCACTCGACAAATCTATCGTCAGTTGCTATTGTCTGTAAGTGATTTCTGTCTGTAATTTATGTCTCAAGCTAGCTGGTGCTCGTTGATCATTACCTGTAATTATCCCCACTATATTCTTTTTGCGGTATTATGTAGCATGAAGATCTACGAAATGAAAAAAGCTAGACGCTATGGCATTGGGTCATTGAACCAAATACCATTAATGAAGAGACATGGACAATAAAATATTCGAGACAAGACACACAAAAAAGCTTGGTAGAGTTCTTGAAGCGCCTAAATTCCAATCGAGATATACTACTTCCTTACTACTTCGGGTGAGTCACATTGTCTTGTACTACAAATTCTGTTTTTGCTTACTAGCTAGATGTTAATAAGTGTATATAGGGTTTAGGGTAGCTGATGAGTGTTTGCACATGCCCTCTTAATTAATACATGCAAACGTGTGTGCATGCAGTTTTCACTGGATCTTATTAATCATTCAAGTTGAAGATGCAAAAATTGTATTACTGGACTCACTACTTAAACCAGCTACTCAGTATGAAATCGTGAAGGGGATGGTCAAAAGGTAATTTCAATCATTATCTCGGCCTCTTCAGTTCGTCAATTCCTGATATCAACTAATCAATAACTCCTTTATTCATTTTCTTTGCCGGCGGGCAGGGCTTGGGAAAAGTTCATCAAAATGGTTCCAGGCCAATGGAAACAAAAGCTGTATTGGTCTCGACCCAAGGTAATTAGTTCAGTATAGTACTACTACCATATCTTAATTCTAGTTTCAATACCATTAATTATCATGCTTGCTTAATTATTATTTGGTTGAATTCTATTCTCCTAAAGGCCATAAAGCAGGCGTCGGGGACTAATGTATGTGCATACATCGTTTGCGAGTACATTCGCATGATGGCGTCCGAAAGGAGCACATCTGCTAGACAACTATGGGTACGTTTGCCAGAACACTATTCACAATTATTACATCATTATTGATATCTAATATATACACACACAACTAATATATGCATATTTATCTCCTTCTTTAAAGTTCCAAGAGATGCGGGATAAGCTCCTACCGGAGGATCGCCTACAAGCAATTCAAGAGGAAACAACGAAATTTTTGCTCGACCATGTCATAGATCCCAAAGGAAAATACCATTACCCGCTACTGCGGTAATGCCTCCATGTAGGAGAAAGGGTATATATATACCAAATTGTATATATACATGTGTACGTGTGAATGGTGGTACGAGACATTCGATCATATATACACACGAGAATTTCTATTTATATATATGCATAATGTGTACAATATGTTGTATCGTAAAATACCAATAAATGAAAAAGAATCAAATGAAAAACACAAAATTAAAGTAAAAAGAAATCATAAACCCAAAACCCCCTAAACCTTTTAGTACCGGTTGGTGTTATCAACAGGTACTAAAGTTCTCCCAGCCCCCGGTGCGGGCTCGTGCCACGTGGTGGCCCTTTAGTGACGGTCCGTGTTGAATCGGGACTAAGGGGGGACCTTTAGTCCCCACACTTTAGTGTCGGTTGCAGAACCGGCACTAAAGGGCCACCACGTTCTGTTGGAGCACCACGTTCTGTTGGAGCAAATGGCCACCACGTTCTGTTGCAGAACCGGCACTAAAGGGCCACCAAGTGAACTCTGAGCAGATGGAGCAAATGGATGCAAGACCTGGAGTTAGCAGGATACCTTGTTCTGTTGTGAGCAAAGTACTGCTCATAGGCTGTCGCTGTGTACATTCTGAACTGCTCATAGGCTGTCGCTGTGTACATTCTGCTCATAGGCTGTCGCTGTGTATAAAAGTATAAGATATAAGAGTGTTTAGATCACTACTTTAATGATATAAACACTATTTATTATATTTCTTTACGGAGGGAGTATATTTTTGTCCGCAGCCAAGCTGATTCCTTGTTTTTATGAGCAGCTCCCGACGCTGGCGGCTTCACACTGCCGGCTGCAGCCTTGCCCAACGGCGGTCTGCGTCGCCCTCCGCTCGAAACGAAGGAATGTACCAGTTATTATGGTTTGGTACGTGAAACTGATGCTCCAAAGGTGAACTCGGAATACGAACTAGGATTCCTGTCATAAGCAAGTCCTTCTAGCACCAGCTCGCGTGCCTCGGGATCGAACGAAATGGACCGCCATTTCTGAACCAATTCAGGCTGCTGCTGCAACCGCAGCCTGCAGGTAATGTTTATATGCATGGGAGCAACCGAGCAAGGACGAGTGCTCTGTCCGCAAAATAATTCAGGCTGGATTAGCTGGTTCACGCAGCATCGACTACAATAGTCGTGACATGCCCTTTTTTGACAGCAGAATTGACACTGTTTACCCTTGGTCATATGACTGACTAACGAGTAACGGGGATGAACTGTACCAAGGCCTTTGACGCTCGATGCTGCAAATTCAGGATTTATGCTTTTCTGAAATCCTTCCGGATCATGGGAGTACTATGTAGTATGTACCGTACTGTGTCTTACACGAGCTCGAGAGTGAATATGCATATTCAGATCACATCATCCAGCCACACGAACTGGTGCAACTAACAAACCAATCTAGCCATCTTCTAAGAAGATCTAGAGGACTGTAAGTAATGACTACTCAGCTAAGTTAGTTGTTGGGTCCCCAATTGCTGAGGTACATGACAGTCCGGAGCTCCTCCTCCTGCTCCTGCCTCGCCTTCCTCCTCGCCACCATCCCACCGGCAGTGGTCGCCGCCTTGCCCTTGCCGCAGGGGCCGTTCCCGGTGGCCGAGGTGCCGGCGCGCTGCTGGAAGACGCACGGGAGCGCGTGGCGGTTGCAGCGGCACAGCCAGGCGTGCCGCTCCTTGTTGAGCGCCTCCACCGTGCCCCCGCCCACGCTCATCGCCGCCGCCCAGGACGAGGCCGTCGCCTTCCCGCCGCCGCTCGCCATAGGACTAACTGCACGATTCCAGGTATAACCGTGCTGAGTGAGTAGTGCAGAGTGCTTGGTTCGTTGCTGTGCGTGTGAGTGTGCTCAGCTGCCTGCCAAATGGCGGTGCTCCTCTTGGTAGTTTTATAGGAGATGCCGATGTCGGCATGGGTAACCGTACGTACGTACGGGGGCGCGCATGGTTTGTGGACTCGTGGGCGGAAACCGGGTGCCTCAGGTTACTGTCGGACGCACGCTGAGGTTGGGAAATGCGGCGTGCCGCTTGTGTCGCAAGTTGTGCGCTGTTGTCAGCCTCTCACTGTGCTAATGTCAGTGTGTTATCCACTTGCTGCGAGTACATCAGATCAGGCTTTGTGGTGGCCCATGAAATGTGTCGCTTTTAGTTTTAGCACACAGCAAGATAAAGATCGCTCCATCTTGGGAATCTGCCAACCTAGAGTTCATTCTGTCCACTGCAGGCACGCAGCGTCCGGGCATCTTCTCCCCCCTCTTAGGATCAGCAGTTGATTACACTAAACAATCCTCCTTTCTGCAACGCGGTTTACTCGTACTCACATGTAAGTAAACTACACCTTTTGGCCACATCCTCTTGGGGTGACGGTGACGGTGAGACCTGAGGTACGGGAGACGTGGACATGTAGGGAATACCGGAGGCTGGAGGCCATGGTTTCCATGGTACCAGAGGCCGCCGGCGCCTGCCTCATGTCAGCGTTTGCTCATGCAAAAGTATCATCTCCCATTCTGCAACTGGGTAGCGGGCTGCTCTCTGTCGCACTCTCACTCTCACTCTGTCATCACGTCGATCAGAAAACACGTTCACTTAACTTATCAACGTCATCAGTCTCATCACATTTAGTTTTACATTTCTTCTTGTCGGCTCATGTGTTAGGTAGCGAACGGGATGTAGTAGGATCGATCTAGTCACTCTCTGAAGTAGTAGCAGTACAGATCGAATTACAGGAGATTGGGGAATTGTTGCATCTAGTGGGAATACATGAAGAACTGAGGAGCTAGGGTTGCCGCCGTCTAGAATCGCCTGATCCACTGGATGCCTGTCTCCTCCTGGTTGCTCGCACTTGTAGTGGACGTAGTGGGCCTTAGCGCGTCCATTCCGCCCCGTTGGTTCGTGGGCTGGGTCGCCTGATCCGCGTGGGCCGCTGGGCAGCGTGGTTGTTGGTGGAGGCGCTGCCCTGCAGGTCCTGCTTGTCAGGGGCGTTGACACCCCCCTCTCCTTGAGACGAGGCTTGATCCCAAGCCTCTGCATGAGGAAACCTGGCCATCAGGCTTTCCTTGTCTTCCCAGGTAGTGCCCAGAGTTGTGGAGTTAGACCACTGTATCTTCACTTGTTCGCAGACGCCATCCTTTTGCTTGCGCCATCTGGTTTGAAGGACTGCTACGGGTATAGCGAGGTCGTCAGTACAATGTGGCAGTTGAGGTTCGACTGACATACCAGGGCCAAGGGCGCGACGGAGGAGGGAGACATGAAACACTGGGTGCACCATAGCATGAGGGGGAAGCTGTAGCTTGTACGCCACCTCATTGATCTTGGCGATGATCGGGAAAGGCCCATAGAACTTGTACTGGAGTTTGTGGTTTGCCCTCGGGGCCACCGATGATTGGATATATGGTTGGAGCTTGAGATAAACTTTGTCACCCACCTCGAATACCCGAAAGGAGCGCTTCTTATCGGCTTGTTCCTTCATCACTTGTTGTGCCCTGTTAAGGTGCTGCTGCAATAGGCTCTGGACAGTGGCGCGCTCGTCCAGCCACGATTGAAGAGCGGGAACTGAGCAAATGTTGTCAGCAGAGATGCCCCAATGGCGCGGCTCATACCCAAACATGGCCTTGAATGGCGTCATGCCAATGCGGAATGATGAGCATTGTTGTACCAAAATTGAGCAAGAGGGATCCAGAAACTCCATCTGTGCGGACATGCTTGTGTGAAGCAACGGAGGAACGTTTCAACACAATGATTAACCCGCTCCGTCTGACCATCAGTTTGGGGGTGGTTTGTAGTGCTTAGTTTGAGTTCCGTACCTGCCCCCGAAACAGCTCTTGCCAGAAGTGACTTGTGAAGACTGGGTCTCGGTCTGAAACTATTGCACCAGGCAGACCGTGGATTTTGTACACTTGATGCAGGTACAGTTGAGCCACTGATGCAACAGTGTATGGATGCGCGAGCGGTAGGAAGTACGCGAACTTGGTGCGTTTGTCCACAATGACTAGCAGGCAGTTGAACTTACTGGATTGCGGAAGGCCATCCACGAAATCCATGGAAATCATGTCCCATGGTTGCTTGGGAATCGGGAGTGGCATGAGCAAACCTGGAGAAGCAGCACGCACTACTAGAAAAACGGCTATAGATGATGGCGCACCTGATGTGTGGTGCGCCATTAGTAGTTTTGAAAAAAAGAATAAAAAAATTGTTACTAATGACGCAGCGTGGGATAGTGCGTCATTACTAGTTGACATAGTAATGGCGCACCACACCCACGGTGGACAGTGCGCCATTACTTGTTCGCCATTACTAAGTTTTTAAAAAAAAATCAGTTTCTTTTATTTTTCTTTTCAAAACTAGTAATGGCGCACCATGGGTGTGGTGCGCCATTAACTAGTAATGGCGCACCACACCCACGGTGCGCCGTTACTAAGTTGGCCCAAAAATTCCACCGAATGCACCCCCCGGACCGTCTTTTCAGTTTAAAAATAAATAAAAGAAAATGATGGAAATGTCAAAAAAATAAAAGAAAATAAGTTTCCCATGTGATATGTGGTCTACTTGTTGGGAAAATTTAAAATATGAATTTCGACTTTATTTGCAAAATCTCTCTGGAATTTGTAAAATGGGCATAACTTTTGCATACGACCTCGGGTTAAAAAGTTTTTTATATGAAAAATCATCTACTCAAAAAGTTACATCCGAATTTAACATGGGGAACCCTGTTAAACATTTTCAAAATCCCAAAAAACCTAACAGAAAAAAGTTATGGGGCTTTTAAGATCTATAGGGAAAAAATGGAGAAAAAAATTTGGATTTTTTTTCAAAATATGATACGTAATATGACCGGGAAGTTTGAAATATTTTTTCAAAATTTCATCATACTCATGAACATGAATAAAGTCCTAGACATCAACAAGGTTTAATAGGATTGATATGATAGATATATCATCAAGTGCCTGTGAAGTGAGGTGGTGCTGGGGTTGGATTGAACTGCGAAGTTAAGCGTTCTTGGGCTTGAGTAGTGTGAGGATGGGTGACCTTCAGGGAAGTTTGACGATAGAGTGTGATTTGACCCGAGATTAAGCATATTGACCTGAGATTAAGCCATAGTGACTCGAGATTAAGAAAAATTTGAAAAAAAAATTGAAAAAAAAAAATAAAAAATATTTTGTTACTAATGGCGCACTTCTATGTGGTGCGCCATTAGTATCTGGTATACTAATGGCGCATCGTGGGCTATACTAATGGCGCACTGCCTGGTGCGCCATTAGTATCTGGTATACTAATGGCGCACCACATGTGCGCCATTAGTAAAAAATTCTAATGGCGTGGTGCTAGTGGCGCACCTGTTTTGCCTACTTTTCCTAGTAGTGGCGGTCCAGCTTGGCTTGCTGGCACACTTGATAGCACCGCACATACTGCAGGACTTGTGCTTTCATCTTTGGCCAGGCAAATGCGCCTGTATGTTACAGGGAATCCTGAGTGTCCCCCAATAGCGCTGTCATGAAAAGTTTCGATGATCCTTTGTTGCATCTATGTGCTCCCCCCCAGCCATATCCTGCCGCGGAAACGAATGATTCCTTGTTGAAGGGAGAATCGTTTCTTTGGATCCTCTTTGACAACAAGTTGCTCCAGAAGTCGAGTGGCCTGGGGGTTGTTGTTGTAACTATTGATCACGTCCTCCAACCATGCTGGTAGGCAAGAAGTAACAGTCGCCAACGTATCAGTTGGATTGGCTCTTGACAAGGCGTCTGCACCCACATTTTCGATGCCCTTTTTGTAACGAATTCGGTAGCGCAAACCAAGGAGCTTGGTGAATGCCTTCTGCTGCCACGGGGTTGTGAGACGTTGTTCTTCCAAGTGAACCAGACTCTTCTGATTAGTTAAGATGTCAAATTCTGCGTGCTGTAAGTACGGGCGCCATTGATCAACCGCTACAATGATAGCCAAGTACTCCTTCTTGTACGTTGATAGTCCTTGGTATCTTGGGCTGAGTGCTTTTCTCATGAATGCAATCGGATGTCCTTGCTGTTGCAGGATGGCCCCAATGCCGCGATCACTTGCGTCTGTTTCGACTATGAATGGTTGCTGAAAGTTGGGCAACGCGAGGATAGGGGCCGAGATCAGCTGTTGCTTGAGCACCTGGAATGCAGTATCTGTGGTTGATGTCCAAATGAATGGGACTCCCTTCTTGAGCAGATTGAATAGTGGCCGCGCGATGACCCCGAAGTTTCTAACGAAACGACGGTAATATCCCACGAGCCCCAAGAAGTTGCGCACTCCTTTGACATCAGTGGGAGTTTTCCAATTTGTCACTGACTCGATCTTGGACGGGTCAGTGGAAACCCCGTGTGCACTGATGATATGACCCAGGTAAGAGATCTGCTGCTTCCCGAAAGCGCACTTGCTGCGTTTCACTTTCTAGCTATCCCGGCGAAGCAGAGTTAGTACTTGTCGCAGGTGGTCGACATGTTCTTGCAGTGATTTGTTGAAGACGAGGATGTCATCGAAGAAAGATAGCACACGGGCGCGGTTGAGTGGCTTGAGAGAAGTCGTGATAGCTCCAATGAAGGTGGCCGGGCCACCCGCGATCCCGAAGGAAACCACCTTGAATTTGAAATGGCCCTGGTGAGTTTGGAATGCGGTCTTGTACTCCTCTCCGGGTGCCAGCCGGATCTGGTGATATCCGGCGCGGAGATGCAGCTTAGAGAACCATTCTGCACCGTGGAGCTCGTCGAGGAGTTCTTCAATGATGGGAACAAGATACTTGGCGATTACAGTGAGTGCATTGAGATGTCTGTAATCGATGCACAAGCGCCATGTCCCATCCTTCTTCTTAACCAGAATGACTAGGGATGAAAATGGGCTGGTACTTCTCTGAATGATCCCGAAACGCAGCAGTTCTTCCACTTGGGCTTCAATTTCACATTTCAGCTCTGGCTTGTGACGGTACGGCCGTATGTTCACTGGCTGTGCACCCGGGATGATAGGAATTAGGTGGTCACAGGCGCGCCGGGGTGGCAGGCCTGTTGGCTCGGCGAAGACATCAGGAAACTCATCGAGAACTTGCTGAATACAATCTGGAGTTGGCGCTGACGGCTCTGTTGTTGGTGCGACCACACACAAGTGCACGACATGAGAGATGGCTCCTTTGCTGCAGAGCCCCCGCAACTGAATGTTGTTGATTGCTTCACACACTGTTGATGCAGCATCGTGTCCGACAAGGCGGAGCGGCCCCGCTGGTGTAGGGATCTCGATGAAGCATGCACGCCAATCCACCGTCATGGGACTGTGCTCCTCGAGCCAGTCCGTCCCCAAAATGGCGTCGTAGGTGCCAAGAGTGAGCACTTTTATGTCGGTGAAGAACTACTGGCCTTGTGAGTACCAGGCGCAACTGGGCACAAAAGAAGAGCACGCCAGTTCGCCGCCGTCGGCTACTCGAACACGCCTAGACTGTGGTAGAGGCTGCACCCCGGTGAGAGA